TCTGAATTGGTGAATGTCTACAGTAGTAATTTGGCTCAATCGGAGAAAATCAGTAGAGTGAAGCAGTTGGTGCTGTGACCCCCACCTCTACATATTCTGCTGTGCAGCACTTTTATTTTGAACTAGATTTAGTGGAGCCTCTAAGGATCAAATATCCATGCCACAATGTGTGTTTAAACTGTTCAGAGCTGTTATTTGCTTGGACCTGTGTGCCCCCTTAGGGGCTGAAGCATGACAGATAACACCATTGCATTGGTAACACCATTTCCAGTTTATATTTCTCCATAAAGAATCCACATCACGTATTCAAAAACTGGTCTGTGAACAAAACCATTGTGCAGTAAGCGGCAATAGTGTGGAGGGGAGAAGGATTTGCTTCTAAATTGCACTATTGCTCTTGAACCAAAACACTAATGTAAACATAGCCTTCAGCTAACTGAACAAGGCCGCCTCCTATGTTTTACGGACAACAGATAGAGTATGAAGTCAAGTAGATTCTATTCTGTTAACTTTAAATTAATTTAGCCTGACATGAATGTGAGGACAGAGAGGAACATCATGGGAATGGAAAACGGATTTATGATAAACAAGGCAGTACTCACTGAATATTTACATGCCTACTTATATGTTTATTTTGCTCATTCTGTTTTCTGTCGTCCCAGCCCCCGCCCCCAACATCTGTAGCTTTAGTTTAATCTCTTCAAATCTTCTGTTAAAGTATGGTCTTTTTATATATATAAAATATATATATGTGTATGATATAAACATATATATAGATCTACACAATGTATGCCTTATATAGAGTCTACAGATGTGCCCAAATTACAATGCTTTAGACTGAGAACATCCTCTTGAATTTCATCCTTACTTTGATTGACCTGAACTAAAGATCTTTCATCGTGGATTAAGACTGCGTGTCCTTTTTCTGACTGTAGCAGAACAAAGAGGTTACGGTACCTGTCCTGCCCATAGGTGTTTGTTGTCCTCTGCTGGAAGCTGCAGTCTTCTTAGGTATGTCAGGAAATACTGCATAAATGTGGCTGCTCTCCAAACCAGTTATTTCAGGGATGCCTACATTAGCTCAGGTATTCTTAATATCTAAACCAGGTCACTTTGACAGAATTGCATTAGGGAATAATTACACAAGAACTTGTGCTGACAGATGGGGAGGAGCTGTTGTCTCTGAGCACAGGATGGGGGGGGGCAGTTGCAGTATTACTGTTTTTACCTGGCACAGCTGTAGCCAAACAGCACTTTGGCCTGCAATCTTACCTTGTTCTTGTCTGTTTTTTTTAAAAAGTATAAATATGGTATATTTTGTTAATAAAAGCAATTACAATCAAAGTATCTGCTTCTTCAGGGAGAGGAAGCAAACATGAACTGATTCTCAGCAAATTCATGGAAAGAAGGGAAATTTACCATTTTACAGATGGGAAATCTCAGATACAATTATGGTATGTGGGATTGTAATTTGGGCACTCCACCATTGGATTATACCTCTGAGCAGTGTGTTGTTTTCATGTTAGTTTTTCTGCAGGCTGAGTTTTTGAGTGTCATTGATCAGTACCCCATGTGGGGAAAGTGATAACTTAGCATGCTAAAATAAACTGGGAGATGTTATCTTTTGCCACCCAGATAGTTTGCCTGATAACTTTCCCTCACACCTGTTTTATCTTTCCTTTTTATATAATTTTCCTTTTTGTTTTGATTCTTCCACAACACCTGAAAACTAACCATTAGCAGCAAATCCTGGCAGTACAGAACCTTTTACTTACTAAAAATAAATATTACCCTGTGGCAGAAGGCATTGGACACTGTAGAAATGGTAGTTGGCATGAACTAGTTGTCGCCAGCATTTCTGGTGTGATCGTGGCTAAAGATGTGGTCTAGCTCTTACCCTGGTGCTTAAGGGCACTCTCTGAACTAACTCAGCATAAGATCAGAAAAGCACCAGCTTAGCTCTAAGGTAACAATAGTGGGGGGAGAAGCAATACTGCCTGTGCAGATGTTACCTAGCTGTTCCAACAGGTTAAATGTATCATCAAACCGCACCATAACTGATGTGTCAAGAAGTAGGAACGTGGATTTTTTCCCCACCCAGTTGTGTTCTTTTTGCATTTTAATATTTGGATGTAAGTCATTAGTATCTTCTAACATAAGAAGATATCTTGCATTATATTTCGTGTCATGTCACCACTGTACATCAAAGTAGAAATGGATGACTTGGGCAAGCTTTCTTCTTCATTAGGAAAAGAGAAGTACAAGTTTGTGGTCTCTGGTTTTGCCATGAAATTGAATTTAAATCTGCCACTAGTTCAAGATGAATATTCCTGTTCTATACCCAAGCCTTCTGTACATTGTGGAAGCATTCCAGTTTCCTCTTCCCAAATCTGGATGAGAAACACACATGTAGCTGTTATCACCAGCAAAAGTATTGAAGCAGAATATTCCTGAGCAGTTTTTCAAGTGGTCCTAGGGGAGTTAGACTAATCAAGCTGAGGCAATCCAAAAAGTCCCTCACTAAAGCTCTGAAGCCACATGATAAATTGTGTATCACAGGTTAATTGCTATAATTTTTGTGTTGTAAATAAAATAGAAATAAGATGTCTTCAAGAAGAATTAAAGGGCTAGGAAAAAAGGCTCCTTTTAATCAAAAAGAGCAATGTCAAGGTAGGCTTTGTTGCAGACTTGGACAATACAGCTAAATATAACGGTTTTCTTTATGCATTTCTGTTTGCTCTATAAATCATCGGGTTGGGAATGGATTTTTGTGTCTCCTGTTCTAGAGTTCATCTGTTATCTCTGCAAGGTGTCTGGTTTTTTGGATGAGAGGGATGGTTTCCTACTTGAAAAGGGCATGTGCTTAATGGGTGGCCTTTCAGTATTGAAAGACGTTAGTAGAACTTTGTGCCCAGTAATCGATGATGTTTGTTACAAAGATTTCCTCCTAGAAAATAAAAATACCTTGCTAGTAGTAGAGATCTTTCTCTAAGAATCATGTTTTTAAAATCTATTTTAGAAGGTCAAGAGAGGGAGAGAGGATAAGCAAGACTATAGCAGTAACTGCTTCTTTGACAATATATCAAGTTTGATTCATGAGTTTGTTTTTATTTTTTAATTTAACATTTCTGGCTTAATACTTGACAGTCTTTTTACTAGTCTACTAAAAAAATTATGAAGGCATATTTCTCTATAATGACTTTCTGATTTGGGGTAGCATTTTTGTTAAGATGTTCCTAAATACAGTTTCATGGAAAAACAGTAGTTTCATTTTTCTAGCTGCATGTCCAGTAACTTTACTAAAAAGTGAAATAACTAGAATAAAAATAGTTTTAATGTATTTTAACATTTTAAATAATATTTGGATAATTTATACTGCATTACTTTCTAGAAACCGTGTTGAATGGTACAACTGAGTAACAAAGTAAAGGTGGAGCTAGTTTGTGTTTGGTTTTTATTTGTGTGTTGTTGTTTTGATTGTTTTGGTTTTGTTTTTTTTTTTAAGACCTATGCAAACAGAGCTGTGCAACTTCCTAGAGACAGGACAGCATAGTACAACACCTGCAGGGTATCACATGAAGTTGTAGGATGTGTAGTTACATTGCTGCTGAGATTATTATAATATAGTAATCATTTAACCTCACTGTTGAAAACCAGGCAGTACATTATGAAAACATGCCACATATAAAACTGAGTTGCACTCTTAAGAGAATCTGTTGTCAACAGTCATATGATTCAGTAATGAATCATATACCATTTATGTATACCATACATACCTCTATTTTCCTTCCATTCTTCCAAACTGTTCTGTAGTTGTTCCATTTGGTTAATGCTACTCCAGTAAATGTTACTGGTCTTCAGAGGTTCTCCTAGGTGCGTGCTATGTCAGCTTACATGCGTGGTCTTTGTTCATGAGGGGCTAGGAGTTAAATTAATAAGTGATAGTCCCATTCCCCACCCCTGCCTTTTTTTTTTTTTTTTAAATAACCAAAAGGAAGATAGAAATGGGGAAGAAAGCTGTATTGGTCCCATAACTGAAATGAAGTGGGCTGGAGGATTTACCAGAAGGATCAGCCTGGGTAGGAAAAATGAAATAAAAAGGGGAAATCCTAAGACTAGCCTTCCACAAACATTTCTTCTTTTTCTGTAAAAGATTTCCCTTTCTGCAGGACTAGCATGACTGGCGTGAGTTTTGGTACGAGGCGTGAGCCTCTGTCCCTGCAGCTGCTGCTGTCTGCCCTGTCTGCTTTACCCCAGTGCCTGAATTCCTCTAGCCTGTGGGTTCTACGTGCAGTTGTAGCATATGCATGCTTAATACTTGTGACATAAATATCATCTCTATTTGCAGATAAGCAAAGCATGGTAATTTGTTAAAGTATGTGTATCAAAGACTGGCCAAAACAAGTTCTCTGTTTTCACAAGAACAACAGCCTCTAAAAAAAAAAATCTTCTGTATTTGCCCCAATTTCTGAGCTGTACGATATTGTCCCTGGTAGCTAAAGGATAGCTCGCTGTAAGTAAGAGATTCTCTCATATGCCTTATTCTAAGCAAGCAAATTAGTCAAACAATATCAAACTGATAAGTTTTGTAAGGTAAACACACTGTGTTTGTACAGCATATTTAAACATGGTCTCTATATTCAAAGAGGGAAATCCTATCCACGTTGAAGTTGGTGTCAAAACTTTGCTGGGGCCAGTGTTGATTGTCAACTGTAATGTGTTATATTCAGGTTCTTGTGCATGCAAAATACTTACTGAAGAACAGTTTTGGTATTTTAGAACATCTTTTATGAGATGGAAGTAACAATCTGAAGTTTAAAGAGAAGAATTTCCAGTCAGCAGTGAAAGACTGTAAGCTAAAGAGCTACAATACAGAATTATACATCTACAAGAGTATTTTTAAATCTATCTACACTTAACAAATTTTTTGCATGCAAGTTGCTTGCATGAGTTATGTATCTGCCCATGTCTAATGTTTAATTTTCCTTTTTAACAGGTAGAGAGAATTGTTGACAAGAGGAAAAACAAGAAGGGAAAAACAGAGTATTTGGTGCGATGGAAAGGATACGACAGTGAAGATGATACTTGGGAGCCAGAACAGCACCTTGTTAATTGTGAGGAATATATACATGAATTTAACAGACGCCACAATGAAAAGCAGAAAGAAAGCACATTAACCAGGACAAACAGGACCTCTCCAAATAACGCCAGAAAACAAATTTCTAGATCTACCAATAGTTCTTTTTCAAAGACATCTACTAAATCTTTAGTTATGGGTAAAGACCATGAGTCAAAAAATAATCAACTCTTTTCTGCCACCCAGAAGTTCCGGAAAAACAATTCACCATCCCTTTCTGGAAGGAAAAATATGGACCTTGCAAAATCAGGTATTAAAATCCTAGTGCCCAAAAGCCCAATTAAGAGCCGGACAACAGTTGATGGCTTCCAGAATGAAAGCCCGGATAAAATGGACCATATAGAGCAGGATCAAGAAGACTCTGTAGCACCAGAAGTAGCAGCAGAAAAACCAGTGGGAGCTTTATTAGGACCTGGTGCAGAGCGTGCTAGGATGGGGAGCCGACCAAGGATACATCCATTAGTGCCACAATTGCCAGTGCCAGTAACAGCCACAATTGCATCAGCATTAACAATAAATGGAAAAGGTATGTGTACGAGTCGGTCATTTTTTGTGTAGATTTTTCATTTGACTGATCTTTTTTACCGTTCAGATGCAAACAAGCTATCCACTCTGTTTAAGCCATGTTAAATCAAGTCTGGAGAACTTCACGACTTTATTTTACATAACTGTATGACTACAAAGCCATTTCGAATTTTGCCAGCTTTTGCTTTCCTCGCAGCGATTCATTGGTATTTGTGTTTTCAGAATCACCATAAGATACATCTGTGTTTGCCTTGACATTGTGTGGTACACATATTCAGTGTACCATTTCCAGAGATTACATCATTGCTTTAAGTTTATTTAAATAGGTCAAATTTGGTATGAATATTAGAGACATAAATTATGGGAATAGATGAATGATGTGAGCAGGGATTCTTCATAACAGTTTACGTATCTATTTTGTTATAAATATTGAATGGAAAAAAAAACCTGTGAGAATGACTTTGCTTAAAAGAAACAAAGTTGAAAAGTTTTGTTTCAGTGAAAATTTGAGCCAGTTGTGGAGATACATATGCCTTCTGCCTGGATTGAATTCTGTCTTCATTATATTTTATCAATATTTTGTTGTTTATACCTCATTTGATATTGGGAGCTTATTTAGGTTTGATGCCTGCCTTGCTAACATCTCAGTAGATGACAGTTTATTCAACTTGTACTGTAAAATTTGTGATACCCAAGAAACCCAAACTGCTTTTGTGGGAGGAAGCTGTTTGTTCCCCCCACCCAGCTGAGACCCTTGTTTAAGACTTCCTGGTCCTCCTTCTTGTGCCCCAAACCTTTGTTCTTCCCTGACAGACCCAGGCTGTTGTGTAGGCACAGGTGTTCTCAGAAGCATGCTTTTGAGGCTAAATTTTCAAGTGTAATGCTGCATCCTCAAATAAAATGCAGTGGGTAAAATCTGCAGGTATGCTATTAATGATGGCTTGCTGGAAAAATTGCTTGAAAACCAAGGATTGGACCTGCCAAAAAACACACTTAGAGACAAACTATAGAGGCAAAAAAATGTGTTGGAAGACTTTGGGAGAGTTTGCGTTGGGTGCCCCACTGTTGCTTGCATTCAGATTTTCTGAAAAAAACAGCTGCAGTGGGAGAGGTTGAAAAGCAGTGGACAAGGGAGGAGGATGCTCCTGGAGCTGTGGTGTCAGGTCATGGACCAACCCATTTTGCTGCAGATGAACTAGGTAACCATGGTAATGCACACACAGATGCCAGGAATATCTCTTCCTTTGCATGGGCTAAAGAAGGAATGTAAATCTCAGAGGATGTAAACAAAGCTGGAGGGGAAAATGCAAGAGATGCCAGTATGTGAGTTTTCTGAGTATGTGAGGTAGAGGAGTGTGTTTGCGCGTGTCATGGTTTTGTGATAATTAATATGTGTTTTGGAGTATGGTGGTGTTCCTAGTGAAGTGATTGAAGTGCTGCCTTCAACGTCATGTTTTTTTGCCTCATGGCATTCAGAAAAAAAACTTGGACACAAAGGACCTTCTTGGATCTATCAGCAACCACAAATGATTAAATCATTCCCACCAACATTTCACTCTGGTATTAGTGGTACAGCAAGGGCCTAGTTACAGGGCATCGAGTGGAAGTAGAAAGACCTGCGCAGGAATGGTAGTGACACATAAAGCATTAGCTGAGGTGCATTTATCTGTTTCACTGAGATGTTACAATTTCCTCAGCTGCCACCACCTCCTTCAGCTCTTCTTAGGCATTTGTCTGGGCAACTAACGCTGAAAGCTATCAACTGACCCTAGGGATGATGGGAATACGAGATTTTTCTCACACTTAGGTTTTCATGAGCTCTTAAGGTGTAGATCAAAAAAAGGAGGGCCAAGGAGATAGTTACAATACATGGTTGCCCAAAAATACACAGTATGTTTCCACCTTCTGTCTGCTGCTGGAGGGATATTAGTACACGTAAGTTAACTGAGGATTTCCCTCTCTGTCCTGATACACCGCTGCCAATCCTCAAGCTGAGCTGTGCAGTCTGCTGGGAAATGCATGCTAAATATCCAAATTTATTATCGCTTTGCAGGCAGTTATGCTCATCTGCAACACTTTTGGGGGTAACATCCCAATCATGCAGTAATTCTCTGATTATAAAACATGGAAACAAAGTTGCAAAAGAAAAATACTTTGCATTTATAACTGACATCAGTCTCTTTTCCTAGCTTTTTAGGATTTCTTGGACAGATATCTTTCTCATGGAAGCCCAGGCTCCAACTCAGCCATTCTGCATGCCCAGAGTGGACATTTATTTAGAGAGAAGCCAAGAGAGGCAGCCCTGTTTCCTAGAGCTAGCCTGGCCTTCGAGATTCCTGAGCTGACATACTCTGTCTCTTCATTAAAGCTGTGCTCTTCTCCTTGCTGTTTTTTATTTTTAACTTCACAGTGCTATTCTTTAAAAATGTGGTGAATCGATGCTTCTCTCCCTCCCCTGCATGGGGCTGTTGTGGTTCAGGATCCCGTTTCACTCCTTACTCAGGACATTCCTTCTGTCTTAAATAGACACCTCATCACATTTTCAACACCACCTTGGGAATCGTACATCATGAGAGGTATTCATTGCACAGAAACGCCATCAAATTCGTAACCTCATCTTCATACGCACCAGATCTGACATATTAATAATACAAATGATAGATCTGGCATTTGGAGCACTCTTTCCAAACTTCCCACCTCCTCCACATACACCTTCTGTTAATTTTAAGAGTTCCTACTTCCACATGGAGGGTGCTGTCAGGAAGACAAAAGCATGTTTTGAAAAATAACTTTTTACTTAAGATGGTTTAGGATTTTTTAATCAAAACATTTTTGTTGGAAAACCCAGTTAGTCAAAACAGAAATCACTAATTGGAAAGTATAATTTTGAAAGATTCTAGAAAAATACATATTACACTTAAAAAAATTTTAGACAACTTTTTTAATAAAAGCTGATTTTGATTTTTTTTAAGTAACATGGGAAAAATAATTTAAAATTTTAATACGAAAAGAGAGTTCCTAATTTTGAGATTATTGCTATGACTGCTTTTGAATTGTGTGACCTGTGTTGGTTTTTAGTCCTAGTTCAGGATGGTAAAACTCTTCAGCATTTACTCTGTTCTTTGTTTGTTTTCCCCAGCCTTTATATTTTTTTTTTAAATTTCATTTATAATAAAAGTACACACCAGGAAAAAAAACTTGTACACATAGGAAAATTCCATGACTGCAATTACTAGGAAATATTAGTATTATTGTAGCACCTAGTCCTGCTTTTGATGAGACAAACTGCCGTGATGCAGTTCTTGTTCCAGAGTTCCTACAGTCTCAGAAAAGGCAACCAGCAAATATTTATACAAATATGCAGGGGTACCAGGGGTATAAAATAACAGTAATGTTTGCTTTGGGATTTGGTGGTTTCAGCATACTAAAATCTAGCTGCTATCCAAAGTATATTTTTTAATATAGAAAACCATTTTATTGAATGTTCATATTTTAAAGTCTTGGCCTTGAAAACAGAGTTGATGGAGTAATATACTACATACAAGTCTAAGAAGGGTGATATATGGAAGAAGTGGGAATGGGTCACTGAATGAACATTGCTGTGGTTCTGGTTTTTTGAAATATGTGGTGATCATCAGCTGTTACTAAAAGTTAATGGAAGCAATCTTGAAATGGATGAATGAAACAGAGAAACACCACCACATAACTGAAATGTTGTGGAAAAGATGTTAAGCTCCTACAAGCAATGCATATTACTCAAAACTAGGCAAGACAAGAAGTGGCCTCATGTCTAACAATAGGTTCTGACACCTTTAAAGTTTTTGAAAGTTTCCTTCATTGAAGTTGAATTAAAAAATAGCTTTGAAATTTTATTGCAAATGTTTTAGGCATAGTACACATAATATCCAGAGAAGTTCTATCTAATAGAGTACACAACAAGTGAAACTGTAAAGGGAATCTAATCTGTTGGTCACACAATGCTAGCGAGTTTTCTTGCAATTTTAGAAAGGACTAAAAGACTGAATTGATGTTCACCTTCTGTAAAACTTGACCATAAACCAGGTGAATACCACTGCTTGACAAATTCTAGTTGGGTTTTGTCTCCTGGGTCACCCTATAGTTGCTACAGTTTTTAGTCAGCTAACAGTGTCCGACATGTGGATGTAATAGAGAATAAATGCCACAAGAAGGGAGATTTGGGGCAGAAAGGCATGCAAAGCTCCAAGTATAAAATGAGCGAGAAAAGAACATCTAGCTGCATACATTGCTATAATTAGTATAAGGCAGGCTGGTGGCTGGCATACGGGAAGAGAAGAAATACAAGAAATGCAGTGAATTACATCACTTGTTAGAAGACAAGCATCACCAATGTGCACAGTGGCATTAGCATCTCCCTCCTTGCACATGTTAGTTCAGATTAATAACTTCCAGGAGCAGCAGGCTGTCTGACAATGCAAAGATGATTGCAGTATATCACCCTACAAGGAACAAGGGTGTCTGCTGATTTTTTCAGTTGGATAATGGTGCTGTTTTTATCTCAGAACAATGGTATTAGTACCAAAGGAAAAGCCAGGCATCAGGAAAAAAATGACTGAACTTAAGTTCTCTTTGTTACCTGTTCTCTCCCTTACTCAAAGCAGTTTATGGGATTAAAAGCCACAGATTTGGAAAACCAAAAATCCACCCTAACACCCAAGGAAAATAGTGTCTGTTGTTTGGTTAAGTGTCTGATAGCTCTAGTCTCAATAGGAACTAAGCAAGTGTAGAAGTGCTCATGGAAGCAACTGGAACCAGGAAGAAATGTACATTCTCAATACAATACCAAGCCAAGCTGAAAGGATTTTAGCTGCTCTGTGTTCCTTAAGGTGAGGGGAGCCCACCCAGTTCCCTCCCAAATTCTCCCAGTTACTTTCTTCCCTCTCCCTGTATGTACCTGGGTGTCGGTCTTTACATGAGGAACAGTCCACTGTCACCAGCACAACTCATTAGGCCACCCTCAAG